TGGGTGGAGTTCTCTTTGCAGTGGAGGACATCCTAGTACAAGGTGCTGCTACATAAGGTAAAGAAGGTACAGACCCCTGAAGCTGATAATGGCTTTTAAAGAATTATTAATGGAAACCAGCTTTATTTGACTTTGGATCAAGCTCAGGCACTTAAATCATTCCTCCTCCCTTTGTATTAGTTTTGACATCACGTGGCTTTTTATCAGCACCTGTTCTGCTCTGAAACACCAGCTGATTTATACCAGAGCAATTTGCAAGGAGGAAAACCACTCAGGAGGTGAGTCAGCCTCTGGATGGAGGTAATTCACAACTGTTTAAATGAGGGAGGTGATCAGGGACGGGAACAAACCTGGATCTAAACAAGAGCTGTCTCTGCTAACCTCTCCGTGTCAAAACCTCTTCTCCAAAAGCCTGGCAAAAGCAGGCATCCAACTGACACTGAGCATGTGTTCCCATCCTTTGTGAGTCCTTGGTGCACCATCCAGCGGGTAAAGCTGTAACTGGGATCCAAGGCACATCTGCCTCACCAAGGTCTCTGTGGAGGCGAGAGCTGGACAGAGCCATCAGTTAAGAACTGCACGGTTGTTTCACCTCTCCCAGCACCAGCATGTCGTGTCTTCTGCTGAAAACTCCCCAGCACATTTCTGGTATCATGTTTTTCATTCCCAGCAAAAAATTATCTTCAGCCTTTTGCGTGGGGAAGAGAGGAACAATTTTCTCAGTAGCTTCTCCTTCCTTTAAAATATCTACATATCTTGGTTGTGTCATTTCCGTTCCCAAGACACCTAATCACTCCCTCCCACTTCTCTGATTATGCACTGCAGAGCAATTGAGTAATCAAATACTTAATTAAATAGCCACACGTCTTTGTTATACCCTTTAATTAGATTACTTGGAAATAATAATAGCTTCTCACCAACCTGAAGGGTTCGTTAACTCCTTCTGCAGATAACAGGAAGTAATTTATCTTTTCCTACTGATATTTTTCTAAATCCCAAGTCAAATGAATCAATTCTGATTTAAAGTCAATTAGGAAGAGATGCACTCTGACACTACACTGTTATCTTCATGAGTGGAGTAATGAATTCAGACTCTCATAACAAGGCAGCGCGACAAAATTTCTCCTTTCAGAGATGACAATTTCAGGACAAGAAGTCTGATTATAAAATATAAAGCACTTCCTGCAATAATTACTGAGATAACAAAACACTCCAGAAGACTTCTTTATAAGAATAAGACTATATAGTATTTATAAAATGCTTTGACATCCAGTAAAGAGAAGTGATGTGAAAACAAAATACTCCTGTGTTTCTAAATCACCAACTTTACACAGCCGTAAGTCAGACAGAAGCATTAAGCCACTGTTAAAGACTGAAAATCGCTCAGGAGCTAATGGGTGCTGATGACACCTGATGACTGTTGCACAGTCATTGTGTGATCCTTGCTCGAGGCTGTGTCTGTCCCAAAGCAGGTGAACACCCACACTCCCAAAGCTGCCTCCGTGGAGGGATGGTCACTGTGGTCTCCTCAGTACCAGGACCAGCTTTATGTTGTCAAGTTATACAGTGACAGGGACTGAGGTCCAGCGTGAAGGTGGAGAAAAAAACCAATATATGGGTCATCAAGCACTTGACCAGGGCATGAAGAGGCTGTGGGATCTCCATCCTTGAAGGTATTTGTCTCTCAGCTGTGCAACCTTATCTAAGCTGGTTCTGGTTGAAGACCAAGAGGCCACCATGGGTTCCTTCCTACCTGAATTGTTTTGTATTTGTGTGATGCTGACAGGATTTTTGTGTGCTTCACTAAAATAAATAAAATAGAAAACATCAAACACTTGTCAAGGAGAAAGAAATGCAGTTCTGTTTCCAATTCTGACAGCAACTTGCTGGAACAACCTTTAGGAAATCATGTAATGTTGGAAAGAAGAGCTTTGTCATGTGTGAGGTCAGTGGAGTTGGCTGAGAGTGGAAAAAGGGAGTGAATTGTGAGAAACAGAGTCTCGGAGTAAAATAATTTTTCAAATTAGAATTTATTAAATAGTAGAAGCAAGCAGGGCTGGGTGGCAGTGGGGTCTCGCTCCTAGACTTGCCACTCTGATACAGTTTGTGTGCCTGATATTTATTTCAGACATCCCATACATATTCATTACATCACATACATGCACATTTTACATCACTATTCCAGGTATTCAACATATGTTCATTTTTAGAACTAAGACTAATTTGTTATCTCTACGACAAGTTATAAATTCATATGTTCTTTGACAAAAGGCGCCAGCAGGCTACTGACCCGACCTGGTTTGGACATAATTCCTGGCTAGGAGGACAGGGGAGGTGATGCTCTGTTTTATGTCTTTATGGGGGTGTAATTAAGTTTTACAACCCGTTTGTTTTTCTTCTCTCCTGAGGTTACATTAACCCATTTGTTTCCCATTTGTTTCCTTTGCTGACCCGAATTAGGACTTGTGTTTATTACAGAATGAAGGCAGGGCCTAATTCAGGAGAGAGGATCCCATACTCTGGGGATAGTAGAATAATAAGTGTGTTCAGTGCTTCTCTTGTCTCAGCCTTTAGGTGAGGGAGCCCAGAGCTTTGAGGTATCAGAGAGCAATCTCCATTTGCAGACTTCTGCTCACAAAATCTATCAGAATCACAACATTTTAATGATCTTGCAGGGGGATTTTTATTACCACATGGAAGATTCAAACATGGAAGCGATTTATACAACTCTGCCACACAAATCCTTATCCTCAGTGGTTTCCCAGTCAGGTCCCAACAGCACTCACTGATGTGCCAGTTCTGGCTGCAACAACTGGGTAAGATTTCATTAGGGATTTCAATATTATTATTATTTACCACAGCCCAAGTGAGAATAAATGCTACACATATTTTGCCACGAGAAACAATCTCTGTCCCACTGACCAGTCTGGATTGGACTGAGAGAGGCAGGTAAAATACTATGAAAATTATAACATATTATCTTTAAAAAATTAACTCCCAGAAGCACAGATTCATCCTATCAAACCTGGCAAATCTGAAAGTCTATAAAGCATTCACAGTTTTCCTAAATAGTCTTTGTACAAGATTATCCTAAACAATTGTGGCAGACTGCACCAATTTCTTGGGGTTCTTACTAACCAAAAGAAAGTTATGACAGGGGATAGCAAGAAAATTCCATCCTGCCTGGGTATCTTGCAGTTATAAAAAGTACAGGGAAAAAAGAAAATAATCAAGCATTCTCCTCCTTTCCCCAAAGTAAAATTTTGGACACATAGCTCTTCTACCACTCAATTATATTCATCTTTGTTTGTAATGTATTCTATGTTAATTATTTATTTGTTGTTCCAGTTCACTGACAGGCCGTGATTTTTACCAGGGAAAATGATCTCTGAAACAGTGTGAATGTGAGGATTGTTCCACGTTCCTCTTGTCCTGGCAAACACAAACTGATCAGTAGTCTGTGCACCTGGAATACATTCTTTTTCTCATGAATTTTGGAGAGCAGATGGCGCCAGTGGAACTTGACTGGAGGCATCAGAAGCTGAAAAACAAAGGGATTAGGGCTGCTGGGGTTGAACAGCAACCACTTTTCGGAAGTGCTGTTTGGAAAGAGGAGGGGAAAATGACTACAGAGAGGCCAACTGATGTGGTGTCCTTGAAAAGAGACACTGAGCGTTATTCACCTCTGCTGGGAGACAACAAATCCAGCAGAAAGGAAGCCCAGCTGTGCATATGTGGAACTCCAGCTGCAGTCAGAGCCTCACTGTCCAGGACAGGAATTGGTATCACAACACTGGACGAGAGACAACTGTTTGTTTAGGTGATGCATGAGACAAAAATCTCTGTTAATTTTTATCATCATTAATTTGAATAGACCATTAACTACTGGAACTGTATGTGGTCAAATATTTCTAAAGGAACATAAAGACTTAAATGTGCATAGAAAAGCCTTAGAGGAAAAAAAAAAAAAAAAAGAAAAGAAAGAAACACCTCAAGAACTTGTTTCAGCTCTTCAAGTTGTTTGTTCTCATATAGGGCTGTAACCTTGGCCCCATTACGGTGAAAACAAGAAAGGTGTTACATAAAAGCTTAATAGTATCAATAGCTGAAGTATCTGAAGTGGATACATTAAACAGCAAAACCTTCACTGTGTGTCCCAGAGCCCTCACTGCCACCAGGGATGCTCCAGCTGCTTGGCAGTCAGAAACTCCTGTTACCCAGGACATCCCTTTGTGCTCTGGGAGAATTCCAGTCGTTACTGTCACTGCAGTACCTGGTGCCAGGGATGGCCGTGGGTTCCTCAAGGTGTTCCTGTGCCAGCCCAGCCCACGGCGGTGCTTTGGTGAGCAATGATTTTTACTGCTCTGTGTGTGTGCATATACGTATATATGTATATGTATATATACTCTGTGTGTGCATATAGAGTCACAAATCACAGAGTGGTTTGGGCTGGAAGGGACTTAAAGTTCATCCAGTCCCTCCCCTGCCATGGGCAGGGACACCTTCCACCAGCCCAGGTTGCTCCAAGCCCCGTCCGACCTGGCCTTGGACACTTCCAGGGATCCAGGGGCAGCCACAGCTTCTCTGGGCAACCTGTGCCAGGGCCTCATCATCCTCACAACCAAGAATTCCTTCCCAAAATCCCATCTAACCCTGCCCTCTGGCAGTGGGAAGCCATTCCCCCTTGTCCTGTCCCTCCAGTCCTTGTCCCTCTCCAGCTCTCTTGGAGCACCTTCAGGGACTGGAAGGGGCCCTAAGGTCTCCCTGGAGGTTTCTCTTGTCCAGGCTGGCCTCCCCACCTCTCCCCGCCCGCCTCCACAGGCCATGGATGCCGAGGACACCCGCTGGATACCAATGGATACCAGGGGATATCCCGGCCCCTCCCAACCCGCACCGAGCATGCGCGGCGCCTGTCGCGGGGCACGCCGGGAGCTGTAGTCCCTGCGGGCGGCCGGGGGGGGGGAACTCCGCGCCTGCGCAAGTGGCGGCCGACTTTGCCAAGTGCCTGTGGGAGGCCGGGCGGGCCGCGCTGCCATCTTGGAGCGAGGGACGGCGGAGCCGCGGCCGCGCCGGTGAGCGGAGCGGGCCGGGGGGCACGGGGGGTCGGGGAGGGGGGCACACGGGCCCCTGCGGGCGGCGAGGGGACACACGGGGAGCGCGGGGCCGCTGCAGGCGGGTTCGGGCGCGGAGGGGCCGCTCGCCCCGGGAGGGGCTCGCTGAGGGCGGTCCCGCCGCCCGGGGCAGCAGCGGGGGCAGCAGCGGGCCCTCCCCGCGGGTCCCGGGACCCCCGCACTGCCCGGCCCCGCCGCCTCCTCCCCGCTCGGTGCCGGCGGCACCTCCGGTCCCGTCCCCGGCGGTGCCGCGTCCCTGCCCGGCCGGACCCGCCGGCCTGTCCCGCCCGTGTCGCCGGGAGCTGCCCCCGAACCTTCGGCCTGCCGGGGACTCGCTGCCCACAGGGCTGTGCCCTCCGCAGCCCTGCCGGCACAGCCGCCTTCCCCCGTGTGTGTGTCCCCCCTGTCCCGGGGCTCCCTCCCGGGGTACGGGGGCTCGGTGCCCGTGTGCCGGCCGGGCATAGCCGTGCCGTGCAGGAATGTTTCCCGGCAGGAAAGCCCGGCTGCAGCCGGAGGTTTGTCCCGAGCCGTGTTCCCTCTCGTAAACACGGCGGAATGGCAACGCTGGTGCCACCGCTCTGTTTTGGAAACAGGGACAAGTTCTGGCTGTTAACCCTCCCGCTCCCGACCGGGCTGTCTGTGACCTTGTGTGCCGGTAGCGTACAGATAAAGCAGACGATGATGTTTGAGGATGCGTTTGTCCAATTTGCTCAGATATCCAAGAATTCAGCTTGTTTTAATAGCTGACATTTGTGGTGTTAAACAGGCAGGGGAACTCCCGATCTGTGTGTGGTGCAGAGAGAGGCAGGTGTAGCATTTGGGGTGTGTTGTGTGCCATCCTTTACCCTTGACGCTTCAGGAGACATCCCCAGCACAACTTATCTCTTTGCCTTAGAGTTGAAGAGCTCAGAAACCAGGACATTTTAGGCTATCCTTTTCCAATATATTACTGCTTATTTTAGTAAGTTTGTCATTGTTTGGTCTCTGCTACCCTGCCACTCAACCTTTTCAAAGAGAAAAGGAGAGAGATCTGGGCTGCTGTTTGTAAAAAGACATTCCGTGTGGAGAGACAGTACATCCAGCTATTGCTTGCATTTACCAGAGAAAAGGTGCAGGCATTTAAGAGCAAAACATGATCTGCAAGCTGTCTTTGGTTCTGAGGATTTTAATGCTTAAAAAAATCTTGTTTGAAAAAAAATTAATTCTTTTCTATCTTCTTGAAGCAGAGGCCCAAAACAGTTCTAATTTAAATACAGTTAGATTGCTATTCACTACAGCTGTTTAAATCTGAGCTTGCTCTAATGTGCCTTTTGAGTTATGATTTAGGGGACATTTAATCATTACACTGAATGCTTTCACCTCCAAGTGATCATTGGAATAATATGTAGCATTCTGATCCAAACTGGGTTTTCTTGTCTTTAAAACAAGAGCTGATACAGTACATGTGAAAGATGATGTTGCAGTGGAAAATAACTGAGACTTCTGAGAGCTAACTTTGAAAGCTTCTTACAGATTAAAGTTATTTTGGGGCTTAAGAGAGATTGAGAGAAGATTATTTATATGAATTTATTAGTTAAGGAGCATCACCTCTTTTTCTTCCCTCAATTTACTCTCCCTTCCTGAAGTTCTGTTTCTTCTATGGTGGAACAGACCTGAAACATGAAGTTTCTTTGTTTCTACGTTTCAAATGGTTTGGAGAAGTTAACTACAGAATAAATAAGCTCATAGGAAGACAGGTAGTAAAGTAGCATGATTCTCTTGTAGTTTGAATTAATCGTTGTTTCTAGGAGAGCGTACCTTAGACTGCTTGAAAAATAGGTTTCATTTTCTCCTATTTTACAGTATATGCAATAGATATTGTTTTTCAACAGCATTATCAGTCAGTGATAGCCTCAACATCTCTTTTGAGTTTAAGCTGTTTAAACAAATTGGTAAATGTATTCAACCATACTGAAGTACTTTTCATGTGGCAAAACCAATTTAATTTCTGCTTAAAAGCAAGGAAAGGAAGCTGCAGGGTTAGAGAGAACAAACAACCCATGCACATGGTAATGGTGAAGCTTCTGGGAGTGCTGTAACTGGTGGAGTTTATTTGTAAGCCCTTTTGCCTGGGTGTCCAGTTATGCTCATGTCATGTTCCAGTTTTTATCACTGTGCTGTGCTTAGGTGTAACTGTGGGAACTGCTTTGTGCCCTCACACCCGAGGAAAGTGAACCCGTGTGCAGAGCCCAGAGCAGAGCTGGCCTCAGTTCCTCGCTGTGACTGCACTTTGCCCAGCTGCAGGAGCCCTTTGAAGTGTGTGCTCGCCTCAGAAGAGGAAGTAGACAAGCCATGATTATGGTTTAACTTGGGAGGATTCTGTTTTTCTAGTTATTTGCTTTTTACTGTCTCGTAAACTGAGTATTTTTAAAGGTTTTAGGTAGTCCTTCTTGGGTTTGGTTGGACTGTTACCTGAGCTAATTCTCTGTGCAGGTTTTGGAGAGGGAAAGGCAGTTGTTGCTCTTCATCCCTCTCCTCTGAGGAATAAAGCAGGAGAGGTTTGGGCATTTTCTGTAAGTGACTGGTGTTTGGGTTTTACTGTAGTGCAGAGTTGCTGGAGCTGAAGAACTGATCTTTTTCTTCGTAAGTATTGCAAATTACTTTAATTTCTATTAAGTGTATTGCAACAAACTGGGAAAAAGCAGTTTAAAGAAGCCAAGGCCCTGTTTCATATGAGCAGCTCTCGAGTTATGCCTGGAATTTCTCCTTTTACTATACCAAAGCATAGCAGGTTTGTTCCCCGCTCTGAGGGAACACGAGACCAGATCTTGTTGCACCGGTAATTCAAATAATTTTTTCATACTTGGCAGTATGTTGCTGTTCTTTTTTTTTTTTTTAAAGTTTCATTACAGTCCTTCCATTTAGGAACTGATAATTCCTGCCTTCCACCCACCTGCCTGAGCTATTCTCAACTCTGCTGCTGGGAGAGGCACAGAACTACTGCCATGTTTGCATCTGCATCATTGATTCTGAACTTGGAGCTCACACTCAAATGCTGAGCAAGAAAAGGCCCATTCTCTTCTGGGGGATTGTTAAAGTTTTATTGGGTGGAACCTTGTTTCTAATCCAAAAGGGAAAGTTGAGTGACCTTCCTTGACTTGAAATGTGCAGATCTCGGGTTCTGGGTTTGGTAGGTGGTGATGTGGGAGCTGGAGTTTCAAGAGGAATGTGTCAATATGAGCCTCTATAAAGTCTTCTGTTCTTTATAGATCTAACTTCTTGTCAAGAGTACCCTTCAGGCATACTAAGTGTTAGCTGGATACCTGGTAATCTTTTTGAAGTTTATTACTAAGGAAAAGGAAGATCAGGTAAAGTTTAAAGTGGTCTTGAAATAGAAGAAGACATGATAAGACAGGCCTGTAATCTGGTTCTGATTTACTCATTAATTCGTCAAGTGGATAGCCATTTGCAGGGAAATATCCATCAAGAATATAATTTTTGTGACTGGGAACATGTTCATTTATGAAAAACAAAACAGGCTCTTTGATTCTCTGAGTTTCATGTGATTGGGGTGGAACTTTTGCCCAGGCAAGTCATTGATAACTTACTGCCCTAGTTAGCTTTGCATGTCCTGTACAATGGGAAAAGCAAAGGAAGGGTTGTTGCTGAGCAAGCTGAAGAGATGGACTGAGACACAGAAGAGTGGATTTGTGTTAATTTTTAACATGCTTTTGGTCAGCATCCATCCTTCGTGCCTGTTCCAGTCCCCAGTGCTAGCTGGCTTATAATTATGTATTAATAATCATTGCTCTTGCTTAACTCTTAGAGTGCTCAGATATCCAAATTGTTATTTCTTTCCTCCTGGTTTCATAAACACTTGAATGGATTAAGACCTGTTGCTCTGAATACTCCATTTGTTCTTTTATGACACCTTGATTTTTTGTTCTTCCAGTGCCATGAGCTGCTGCTCTTTTGATGGAGTGAGATTTTCGGTATAAGGATTCCTCATCTTTAAAGTTTATTTGCTTTGGCTTGTCAGAGCCTGATTATTGGATCATTTGGATTAATTTTTCTTGGTAGGACTTGCCTCTATAAGTGCGTATGCCTTGTGTGTTTATGTGTGTGTTTATTTCCTCCTGCTGGAAGTATGTCCCTTCAGGGACTAGATAACAGATGTGCTGGTCAATATAGCAACATGTTCACAAGATGATAATGTGTTTGGCCTAACCTTTAACCAGGCTTGCTATCCTCTGGGAAAGTGTTGCATATTTTCACCAGCTTTTACCTGAACAGCCTTTCCTCTCTATTCGAGACCTCCTGGGCAACCCTACATGTGAAGGTTTATAAACTGAGAGAAAAGAAAATATGCGAGCTTAGAAAATGAAGAAGTATCAGAGTGACACTGACTTGCTTTTCATCTCAGGATCCCAGAATGGTTTGGGTTGGAAGGGACATTAAAGATACCAGTTCAAAGATCACAAAGCTGCTTTGGTTCTTAAATGTCTGTGATTGACCCAGTGCACATGTTGTCATCAATAATGAATCTTGAAAGCAGCTTCTTATTCCAGCTGTTTGAAGGGGAATAATGTGTATGATGCTTACAGGAAAGAGGAGGGAAGTGCTGAAGGTTTAGTAAAGCACTCTGACCACCTCACTCTCTGCTGAAAAAGTTTCCAAACTAAACCTATCTATCCAGACTAAATAGGTGTCACCTGCCTTTTCAGGTGAATACTGGCCATGTGTAACATTTCTAATTCCATTTAAGTGTTCATCACCTAAGGACACAGAGGAGAAGTTAGAATCCAGGGGCAGTACTTCTGCAGGTAATTGGCATGTTCCCTTTTGTGCATGTCAAATTGAGTTTGTCACTAAGATAACAGAATCCTTTTTGCCTTTTACAAGCATGGCGTTTGCTGTATATTAAAATGACCAATTTCTAGAGCAATGCTGCATTTATTAAACATTTGCCTGAACCAGATCTAGTTCAGGTCAATGAATAAGCTATGGCAAGGCAGCAGTGTTCTCATTGTTCTTCTGTGCACCCATTGGATCAGGGTATTTAACCCCTGTTCTGAAATCTAGTTTGGCCAGGTGGATTTGCTCTGTGTGGAGACCTGTTGACATTGCTGGTGGTTTATTTATTTTATATTCTCCATGGTTTAAAGGTTTTAAACATAGCCCTGTGAGGTGTGGCATATCGTGAGTTTGTTCCTTTCCTTTCCACTCTCAGAATTACAAGACTTATGGTAGTAAGTACTCTTAGTGAGGTTTGAGTTATTAAAGCAAAAAATAACATTTAAGCGAAGTCTTGCTTTCATCTGGGATGTGAACAAAATAATACTGTCCTGAGGGGGATATTAGAGGTGAAAATGCTGTCAGACTAATGCCTGTTCACTTTGAAGCTGGGAAGCTGCCCAGTGAACTCTACCTTTGAGTGGAGGAAACACCAGCAAAATGGAATTCCCAGTTAAGGTGGGTGATACGGGAGGTGAGAGAGGAGGGACTTCCAAGACATTAATGATAGGAATGGGATCTATTCTGAGAGAAAGCCTATGTCACAGCTGGGATTCCTTTGCTTTCTGCAATTTCACTTCCTGTTTTTTAAAATAGTAAACTTTCTACTTTGTATTTTGCATTTCTGCCTTCATGACTTCTAATCAAACACAGTAAGGTTCTAATGTATCACAAACTAGATAAAGTGGCGGAACAAAATTTAGAAGAGCAATTGTCAGAACTCCTCACCGGGTTTAGCCTCAAGGATATTTTGCTGTTTAAGAAGATCACTGCACAGCATTATAACCCTGTGGACCTGTACCTTTATTCCAGGGTTCCTTTTTGGTTTGCCTCATGGTGCCTGGACGGGGAAGCTGTGACGGGGGGGCTGTACCTTGTGGGATGTTCACACTGAATTACTCCCCCTGCATAGTGTGCTTTGCCAGGACATGCAAAATATGCCTATTTTATGTAAAAAAATTTTTTTTTGCAGTTCTCAAGGCTTTTTTCCTGAAGATTTACTGGGTTTAGGTAGCTCAGTGACTGTCAGTTTAGCACTGGCACAAAGACAGGGAAGGACTGTGAGACCGTGTGAAGGGCAAGGTGGGCTGTCCCTGTGGCACTGTGGAGCTGCTGGAGGGGAACTCCCGGGCTGCACTCCCCTGAGGGCTCAGCAGCTGCACTGCTGACACTTGTGCAGTTGCCTCTGGCTCACTTTTTTGGTTTAGTTTTAGTTTAGGATCCAGTTCTAAACTTCTTCACAGTCCTGTGGTCTTCCAGTTGGCAGTATGGAGAGCCCCTTGGAACTGAAGGATGTAATTCATGTTTGTTGTTAGCAGATGGTCCTGTTCTTTTTTTTTTAATGTGCAACTGTCAGTTCTTCATACAGAAGGTCTAGGATGTAAAGACTGTCATTCAAGGATTTCATTTATTACTATAATTGGAAACAATGGGTAACCCAGAATTTCCAAAGTCTACTTTACCTGCTGCTAAAGGGCAAAGGAATTTTAGGGCAGCCCCACAAAAACCAAGATTAGGGGAAATGTTGAGAATATTGAAATAGTGGTACGGTTCTAAGCCGCCTTTTCCCTGCTGTTTCTCTTTTATTTTTCAGAGAGGCATGAGCTGGAACATAGCAGGCAGTCAGATTGTGCAGGGTTGGGATGGTGGTGTTGTCCCCTCCTGACCATCTGGTCACTTGCAAAAGATTCTTGGGAAGCAAGTAATGGACTTCCATTGCAATGAGAAAACATGAAGATGATTCCTCTGGAACTCAAGATTTTGCTTGCAGCAGTTTGCAGTTTTGGAAAAGACAGTGACCTGTAGCAGAGTTTCAGATACCTCAGGGTTGACTTAAATAGTCTCAATACTTTTTTTCCCCCAGAAATTCTTATTTCCATTACATCTTTTGGATTTGCGTGCTCTGCTGTAGTAATAAATAATTTAGGTTGGAAAGATGCAACCTTTATTTTTGGCTGACATTGGTTTTCACACACAGGAATATTACTTTATTTTATTGCAAATACTAGATTTCCAGTTCTACTTTATTTGATTGTGATGCTTAAGAATATTCAGAGAAGCAGCTTATTTTTCTCATGGGGCAGTATATGTGTAGTTATACCTTGGTACCAAGTTACCTGTGAGAATTTCAGTGCTTGCTCTTACAGCTGTGTCAGAGTTAATCAGCAGGAACTGCCTCACACCATCGACTTTGCTAAAGCACAAACAAGCAGCAGGTGACCAAGAGCTTTCTTTTTGGAGAGATTTCAGATCATCAGCACGTTACAGTTGTCCCTGGTAGCAGGGAATGATTCATCACTTCTTTAATGAGCCTCCCAGGTTGGATTGCAGAGCTGTGCACTTTGTTTTGATTTCATTTATTGCTCAGGTACCTACAGTGACAATCTGTTCAGCAAGTTTTTGTAGGCAGTGTGTTTCTCCTGAAAGCTCCGTGGGCATTTTTATCTGTGCTCTTGGGAGCAGTGGAGCTGTGTTTGAGGCTCTCTTCATTGCTACACCCACAGAGGGAGGTACCTTGTACTCCTTGAACCTTCGTCAGCACTCCTGGACACTTAAAACCAGGTGCACTGTGTTCTGGACAGTCCTGCACAGCACATCCTGAAGGATCATGTTTAGGTTCATGCAGGCACTGGAATGTTGCTTGTGGAAATTGTATCTGCTGCATTTGAGGCTTCCAGGTGACGGGATCAGGGTTTCCAGTCTTTTAGTAGGCAACAGATCTTACCAGAGGCTACCTGTAAAAACCTTATTTAAAACAACTGTAAGGGCAGGTGAAGTTGCAATGACCCCAGGTAATGCTGTAATCTAATGGTGAAGCTTCCTGGGATTTTTCATTCCCCAGAGTTAAAGCCTTTCTGCAGGTTTGTTTAAGTGTGTGTACAAACCATTGATAATGAAATGTAGCTCTGAGAAAGGAATGGGGAAATATGTGGAAGCAGGCACTGAGCTGTAAACAAGGAGGAAAACTAATGGCCGGAGATGATGAAATCCTGTGTGGATGCTGTCCTCTGTTAATAGCTGAATGTGTTAACTGCTGCTGAAGAGGCTTATTCCAAAGCTGCAAGGTGGGTGGTGAAACAGAAGGTGGTGGCCTTGTATTTTGTTTTACTGAGCGATTTTGTAGCAGAGAAATTGTTTCTTATTGACACTTTGAAAATAACGCCTTTGAAATGCCTTTAAAAATAGCTGTGATACAAAACCCATTGGTTTCCTTCTGATTCCAAGTCACAAAATAACCAGCCAAATTAGTTAAAGCTCAAGTGGTTCTCCAACATATCTGCTGATGTCAGTCTTTTATCTCTCTTCCCGTGAGCATCAAATTAAGTTCTGCAGTTTCTGAAATTTGCTCACGAAGGTTAATGATTTCCACCTTTTAATTGGCAAATATCATAAAGCATGATCTGAACTGTGGTGCTGTGTGGGTATGTCTGTACTAGTGAGATAGGGGAGGGAAATGTGGGAACTGGAAATGAGGGAAAGTTAGTGGATATGTGAAAATCATAAGGTTGATGTGGTAACGTTGATGGGAAATTATCCACTTGGAATGCAGCTGTTTTATGCCTCCAAAATTAAGTTACCTGTATATACATCCCTGGGATTTTTGGCAGCATCATTTTTGTTTGGTTTTAGTATCAGAAGTGAAACTCCACTGCCATTCCCACTGAAGTTTGGATTCATTTATATAGACACCTAGGAGAAGCTTTTAGAAACTGTTAGAGAATCAACATCCTTTAAGTGACACTCCAGCCTAAATTTGTCACACATGGGATATTTTTAATGTAAAATAGAGTAATTAGTTTGATTGAAAGTGCTGCAGAGATTGGGACAGGAGCTTTAAAGAATCATGGGAGAGATGCAGAGCAACATATGGATAAATGTTATAACAGATTTACTTGGGTGAGTTTTTACCATATGAGTTAAAATGAAGGAAATATGTAAAAGTATCAACAAGTTAAGATGTCTTTTCAAATAAACAGACTATTAACCATGATATTCAATGACTTCCCCATCTCTGATGTTGTGTAAATAATGACAGGATACTACAGATTCCAACATATGTAAATGTTTTATGAGGTTTCTTATCAGGGCAAAAGAAAATGAAAATCAGCCAAGAAAGCAGTGTGCATGTGAAGTGTCCAGTAGCATTTTTCTGTTTGGACCTGGCCTTGATTTCTGCATGTTCTTCAGTCTCATGTTACCTGACTGTCAGTAGTTGGAGCAGGTAACACTTGGGTCTGTACAGTCCTGGACACGGTGTAGAAGATTGACTCAAGCTGTGTTGCTTTGTTCTTTATAATAGAGAGCAGCAATGAGGGAAATGGAAGTAGTTTTTAAAACTGGGAAAAAATACCTAGTGTAGGCTTGTGCATTGAATTTCAGTGTAGGACTTGGGAAAAGCTGTAGAAATTAGAGGGACACTGAAGATGAAGATTGCTGAACCTGAAGAAGGTGTAGTGCTGACTGATGCTGTCTGTACTATTCAAACTAGTAAAACATAAACTGTATCAATAACTGGGCACTGAAGGAGAACCTCAGTTTGAAAAAAAAGAATAACCTCTCTAACTCTCTTGATAGGTGTCTCTTTAGAGGAGGAGGAATGTGCAGCGAGACAGACATAAAGAGAACAAGCAGGAAGAACAGGACAGGAACAACTGGAATTATTGAGGTAGTTTTAGGGGACTCAAAGAAGCACAGAATACTTGAGGTTAGAGGAGACTTCTGGACATGGTCTGGTCCAAACCCATGTGCTTAAAGCAAGGCCAAGTCAGAGTGGTCAGTAACGTGTTCAGTCGGGTTTGGAATGTCTGAGGATGGCAACTTAACCTCTCTTGGCAATTTCCCCACTGTTCAGTCACCTCAGTAAAATAAATAACTCCATCCCATTTTTACACTGAATTTCCTGTGTTTTAATTTGTGCCCACTGCCTGTTGTCCCATCCCTGAGCACTGCTGGGGACAACCAGCTTTTTAACCCTTCAGGTATTTATATACACTGATAAGATCCTCCTGAGCATTTCTCTTTTCCAGGTTTACAATCCTGGCTCTCTCAGCCTGTGCCCATATGTCGTGTTGCAATCACTTTGTCATCCCTGGCTGGTGTCACACCAGCACATCTGTGCCACTCTTGATGTGGGGAGCCCAGAATTAGAGTTGAAAGGAAGGATGACCTTTCCTGTCCTGCCAGCGATGCTTTTCCTAATGCAGCCCAGGCTGCTGGTGACCCCTTTTTCTGCTGTGAGGAAGCATTGCTGGTTGGTGTTCAACAGCACCAGTGTTTTCTGCAGAGTTGTTTTTCTGTCCAGCTGCCCCCAGCCTTTACTGGTGTGTGGGTTTATTCCTCCCCAGGTGCAGAACTTCATGGAATTTTTGTTCCATCAGCATATTTGCTGAGAGTGAGCTTGGTCCCATTGTCCAGGTCATAAATGGAGAAGTTAAACTGCAATACCAGGAGTGTGGAAATTCACTCACAGGAGTTGAGGGACCTTTTTGCTTTATTGTGGCACAGTGTGGGCTTCACTGAGCCCAAGCATGACTTCAGAGATTCATTAGAAAGATTAGTTTTGATGAATGATTTTCTCTAGAGCATAGAATGAAAAGCAAGTTTGTTTCAGTTGTTCAGCACCTCTGTGGATGCTGAATACTGCTGGAAATTTATCCTCCTTGTTAAAAGAAATATTTATGCCTACATACAGTACTCAGTTACTGCATTTCCTCCCACATGAAACAGGTAGTTCTGTGGTCCAGCTCATCACTTAGGCCTCAGAAACACAGTCTGTTACCCTGGTTGATGACACAAATACTTTGTGCTTTGACAGACTTTTTACCTACAGCACTCATCATTCAAGTTAAATATATGCTTTAAATGCAATCTTGATCTATTTGACTAAAAAGACTGTGATTTTCCCCTTAGTTTTAACTGCTGTGGTCATGTATTTCTAGTAGTTTTGTAGAAACAATTTTCTAGCCTCGATTTTGTGCAGAAGAAGGGACAAAGCAGATCTGTCCCAGTGATCTACAGTGGAAAATTTGGGGGTTTCCTTTTTAGAATTTTGTAAAGGAAAATATGCTGAGAAAAAATCTCCTCTGGAACTGTGAAATGAAGTGAAATGTGCAAGCCTTGAAGTGACTGAGTCACATGGTCACATGTGAAAATACTCCTGTCCACACTGGGGGAATGAAAGGAGGAGAAGAGCTCGAATCAGTGGATGGAACTGGGACCTGTGGAGGTTTCCACGGGGCCAGAGTGCAGAGAGGACTAGGGCAAGGGAAACAGGGAATGCATCTTCATTAGTGTTTTAATTGTTGTAATTCATACAAGGAGTGGGAATCCACTGATTGTTCTCACAGACTGCACTTGGATTTGACTTGTGAAATGAGCTTGGATCAAGGAAGCTGAGCTGCTTTTGGGTTAAACTAAACTGGAGGCTGTGGTGCTGCTGGTGTGGGACTGAGGACTCAGAGTAGAGCTGCTCCAAACTAGAGCTCCAGAAATGTGTCCCCTGTGGGTATTGGGTCTGCCTGGCCCCACTCCTGGTACTTCCCTGCTCCTGGATGTGGGCACAGCTCCAGCAAATCCGATTAGGGGAGGTACAGGGAGAGTTCAGAGACCCTCACCACTGGGAAAAGGCTGTTACCACTGTAAGAGAAGCTGTAACAAAAACCAGGTCGGCTACAGTGTTTCTGAAAGGTGTGGGCAAGGAGTTTTTTGTGATGATTACAATACAAGAGGTGAAAATGGGTCTGTAAGAAAAAAGGGATCTGTTTTGGCAAGTAATTCCCTCAGTAAGCTTAGGAGCTGTAAGACAGTGCCATGAGCTGATACAAGCTAAAGGGTAATAGTCTTATTTTGAAATGCAACTTTTAGAAAGGAATTATTTTAATTTTCTGTGAATGTGTACAATATGAACAATTGTTGAAAATGAAGAAGCACTGAAGGTCTTCAAGAAGAAATGAAACAAAACAGAAAGAAACCCAAATTGATAAAAAGGGAAGCATTTATATGGATTGTTATTAATAAAAGGCACAGAGGAACATACATCTGAAGGTGTTAAAGGAATAGCTGTTGCATTTACTAAATCCAGAATTATTTTTGGAAGACAACTGGAGAATGCTTCCAAAGGAGTTAGCTTGGGAACTCTTCTCAGTCTTTCAACTGAGAGACGTATGAAATGAATGTACAAACGTGTAGTGGAAAAATTACTGCACTTCTGTGAATTAAATCATGTAACAAAATAGATCTTGTCTGGTTTGTTTGTTTTAACTTTTAGATTTGTCCTGTGGTTTTAGCAAAGTAGTTTGATATATGGTTTTATGAAGTAAACAATCTCTTATCGAATGGAAGCTGCTGGTGATTGAACTTGATTGGAAGGCGTCCCTTAGGTTGGAGAAAGTTGTCTTTGGAGTTCACCTCTTTGCTCACTCTTTTTCCACGTTATTGCAAATACCAAGAGGAATGACATTTCTAAGGACTGCATCTCTAGGTAACTCTGTATTTTAGCTTTCCTGTTCAATATGTTTTGTTTCTTTTGCTAGGTTTCAGCAGCAGTGTGGCCCGGAGATGTGTAAGGGCAGACATGCTAAGGATGGAAGGCATTGTGCACCTTTATGCCCTAGGAGAATAGGATATATGTTTGTGCAAAGCCTCAGAGCCACTCTCTTTGTTGGCATTGTATCTGGAAACATGAACATCTAGTAAGATGCCTTTATTATAACTTGTATTTTGCTCCTAGTTGAGTGTACTGAAAGTTAGAGACACTGACATTGATGTTAGCCCTGTTTTGGGGGGGTGTTGGACAGGATGATCTCCAGAGGCCCTTTCCAGGCCAAATGTGTGATTCTATAAAAAAAAAAAAAAAGTGTGGGAGAGGAAATTGGAAACCAATTCCTAGAAGTGTGTTCTTGTTTTAAGATACCCTTGTCTCCTCCTGTGCTCTTTCAGTAACACATTTTCACTTACGTTATTTTCAGATCGTTTTTAGGCAGTGTTTTGCTTAAATGCACAGCATAAGGAGAACAGAAATACATGGGAAGGGTCTGAGAGATGAAAGGATAAATGCTGCCTGGCAGTTGTTTAGACTGTGCAGAAATGCCTGAGAGTAAAACCAAACACACTTTTCTCATCCTGGGTGAATTTTCTCACAAGGCTTTGTACCACCACTTCAAAGTCAGTGCCTGCTCAGTGTATTTTGTCTCCTTAATTTCCTGGGCATTTCATAACAGGCAAAATTTTGGGGTTTTTTTTGGTGTATTTTTATCTTTTCAAGTTTTCATCACGTGTTTTACGTAAAATAACTTTTGATCCTTGAATATCTTTGTTTTAAATATGGAAATGTTAATTTCCTGACTATTTCTCCTAACTCGTTGCATTGCAAGAAAATTGTTAAAACTGCCAAAAGAGGAGTAAAAGGAGGGTAATATAAATTATCTCTTCCCAGCAATCATGAGTTAATAGATTACAAGTACGAAAATTGCTTAAGGGGGGGGGGAAATAACTTAAACTTTTGATGTGATATTTTTGATCTGGGTGATCACATTAAGATTATATTGTTGCCCTAATTAAAAATTAATTGAATAACATGAATAAGTAGCTTATAGCTTGTGGATTTATGTGACTGTCTCCCTCACTACTGTGTCACACAGCTGAAGCAGTGATAAGCAGAGGCCTCCAGAAAAATTCTTTCCTTCCCTTTCCCATAGCAACAGGCAGGAAGGGACTTTGGGTAAAGTTCTCAAGATTCCTTTGCATGCTGTCATGGTAAGGTCTAAAATAACCTGTTGCCAACACCACCAGGAATATTTGACTGAGGTGCTCAAGGCTGGGATTTGTGCTTTGTAGGAGCATTAAATGCTTTTGGATACCTGCTCAGCTCCCTGTCAGCTCCCAGTTTAACAGTGTCTGGCCACACTGTCTGCTTTTCCCTGCAGAAAATTGTCTTCCAAGGTTTCCACTGAAAAAAATGTTGTTTATTCTCTCTAGGTGCTTTCTTTATAGAAACCTGGAAATAAAACAATTGGGGTTTTTTAGAAGTGTAGTATAAAAGGGTTTGTTGCTTGTCAGGGCTCTCTCACTACAGGCCTGCCCATTACATTGCTTCAAGCTGTCTTTTTCCCTCTCTGAGGAAGGATGTCCCTGATTATTTCTTTAACCTGTATTTCCAAAAGGTCCATTTGGGACATGGGTCACAGTGCAAGGAAGTGGGAGAATTAAGAGGGAGGGCTGGCATTCATTTCTACAGGACATGAGAGTTCTAATTGCTAGAACTTGATGCCTTTATTTTGTTAGAGGTCTATAGTAACAGTCTAATGACAGGAGTGTGTAAGGTCAGAGGAACTTTGGTGTTTGGAGGTGCTAAAAGGGTATTTCCCCATGGTGTTCACACCTTAGGGCTCCGTTACTCCAGCAGGAAAAGGCAACCAACAGTGAGTTAGAACTCTTGACCTACAGGGTCAGCTCCCAGAGGAGGGGGACTAGAAAAGAGTTTTGTTCATCGTGAACTAGATAAAAGAGCACAGACCTGTGTAACTGAGCTTTTACCTCGTGAGTGTGTTGCCAGCCCGGGATAACACCTGGAAGCTTTCAGCTGTATCTGGTTTCTTGAATGAAAAGCAAAGTCTTACCTTGCTACCTGCAAAGCAACTGCTTCCCTTGCAGTCCACGTATTGTAAC